GGACTGGCCCGTGTTGAGGACGGTGGCCTGGCCCGTGTTGAGGACGGTGGCCTGGCCCGTGTTGAGGACGGTGGCCTGGCCCGTGTTGAGGACGGTGGCCTGGCCCGTGTTGAGGACGGTGGCCTGGCCCGTGTTGAGGACGGTGGCCTGGCCCGTGTTGAGGACGGTGGCCTGGCCCGTGTTGAGGACGGTGAACACGCTGGTGCTGACCAGTGAGTGTGGACGACGTGTACCTGGCCGTGTGTGTGCGGGTTGTGCAGGTGTAGTCAGTGTCCTGGGGGAGAGCGACACTGTCTACATCAGTGTAGTTATACTTCTAGAGATAATATATTGCTGAAGGTGTTATTTAGTCTTGTTTAACCCCTTTATTCCTTACACAGTTACTTGCTTCCGCTAATTCTCGATAATTTACCATTGAGTTGGTGAAGGATGATAGAGTTGAAGATAGAGATGAAGGATGATAACCGGGTTCTCTCTGCTCTCTAAGGAGAGAGCAGAGAGAACCCGGTTACTGGCTCAAGCAGGACGTTACACAGTCTTTCCTCACAGCTCATATCTCTCAGCTCTCGGACTAGTCTGGTGGCATAACTCTTAATCTTCTCTAACTTGGCTCTTGAAGAATTCTCCTCCCAGATGGTATCTTGTGTTCGATCTTCTGCTCCCTTCGCTTAATCTCATTACACTTTCCCGAGTTAAACTTTAGTAGCCATTATCTAGATCTTCCTTCAGTTTGTCCAGGTCGTCCTGTAGTCTCTATCTTCATCTGTCTTCATTCTTCTCATAATCTTTGCATCATTAGCAAACATTGAGAGGAATGAGTCTATACCCTCTGGGAGATCATTTATATATATCAGAAACAGGATGGGTTCAAGTACAGAGCCCTGTGGGACTCCGCTGGTGGCATCTCGCCACTCTGATACCTCCCCCTTCACAGTTACTCCAACTTTTATTACAGCCTTTTATTGGGTACTTTGTCAAAGGCTTTCTGGCAGTCTAAGAAAATGCAGTCTGTCCACCCTTTTCTTTCTTGCCTAATTTGTATCGCCTGGTCATAGAGTTCTATTAGACCTTTGAGGCACGATTTACGTGTGCGTTTACAGGTGTACTCACCTAGTTTTACTCGCCTAGTTGTGCGTGCGGGGGTTGAGCTCTGGCTCTTTGGTCCCGCCTCTCAACCGTCAATCAACAGGTGTACAGGTTCCTGAGCCTACTGGGCTCTATCATATCTACACTTGAAACTGTGTATGGAGTCAGCCTCCACCACATCAACCCCTAATGCATTCCATCTGTTAACTACTGACATTGAAAAAGTTCCTTCTAACGTCTCTGTGGCTCATGTGGGTACTCAGTTTCCACCTGTGTCCCCTTGTTCGCGTCCCACCAGTGTTGAATAGTTTACCCTTGTCTAAACAAAAAGTGACTTGTTGACCACACACCCGGTGTGTGGGGCCCTCGGGCACAGGGTTGGGGGGCCAGTGGTGTAGAGGGTGACCTTGGGTGTCAGGGGTGACCTCTGGTGTCAGGGGTGACCTCTGGTGTCAGGGGTGACCTCTGGTGTCAGGGGTGACCTCTGGTGGCAGGGGTGACCTCTGGTGTCAGGGGTGACCTCTAGTGTCAGGGGTGACCTCTAGTGTCAGGGGTGACCTCTAGTGTCAGAGGTGACCTCTAGTGTCAGGGGTGACCTCTGGTGTCAGGGGTGACCTCTGGTGTCAGGGGTGACCTCTGGTGTCAGGGGTGACCTCTGGTGTCAAGGGGTGACCTCTGGTGTCAAGGGGTGACCTCTGGTGTCAGGGGTGACCTCTGGTGTCAGGGGTGATCTCTGGTGTCAGGGGGTGACCTCTGGTGTCAGGGGTGACGTCTGGTGTCAGGGGTGACGTCTGGTGTCAGGGGTGATCTCTGGTGTCAGGGGTGACCTCTGGTGTCAGGGGTGATCTCTGGTGTCAGGGGGTGACCTCTGGTGTCAAGGGGTGACCTCTGGTGTCAGGGGGTGACCTCTGGTGTCAAGGGGTGACCTCTGGTGTCAGGAAGTGACCTCTGGTGTCAGGGGTGATCTCTGGTGTCAGGGGTGACCTCTGGTGTCAGGGGGTGACCTCTGGTGTCAGGGGTGATCTCTGGTGTCAGGGGTGACCTCTGGTGTCAAGGGTGACCTCTGGTGTCAGGGGTGACCTCTGGTGTCAGGGGGTGACCTCTGGTGTCAAGGGTGACCTCTGGTGTCAGGGGTGACCTCTGGTGTCAGGGGGTGACCTCTGGTGTCAAGGGTGACCTCTGGTGTCAGGGGGTGACCTCTGGTGTCAGGGGTGACCTCTGGTGTCAGGGGGTGACCTCTGGTGTCAGGGGTGACCTCTGGTGTCAGAGGGTGACCTCTGGTGTCAAGGGTGACCTCTGGTGTCAGGGGTGACCTCTGGTGTCAGGGGGTGACCTCTGGTGTCAGGGGGTGACCTCTGGTGTCAAGGGGTGACCTCTGGTGTCAGGGGGTGACCTCTGGTGTCAAGGGGTGACCTCTGGTGTCAGGGGGTGACCTCTGGTGTCAGGGGGTGACCTCTGGTGTCAAGGGTGACCTCTGGTGTCAGGGGTGACCTCTGGTGTCAGGGGGTGACCTCTGGTGTCAGGGGTGACCTCTGGTGTCAGGGGGTAACCTCAGGTGTCAGGGGGTGACCTCTGGTGTCAGGGGTGACCTCTGGTGTCAAGGGTGACCTCTGGTGTCAAGGGTGACCTCTGGTGTCAGGGGGTGACCTCTGGTGTCAAGGGGTGACCTCTGGTGTCAGGGGTGACCTCTGGTGTCAGGGGGTGACCTCTGGTGTCAGGGGGTGACCTCTGGTGTCAAGGGGTGACCTCTGGTGTCAGGGGGTGACCTCTGGTGTCAGGGTGACCTCTGGTGTCAAGGGGTGACCTCTGGTGTCAGGGGGTGACCTCTGGTGTCAGGGGGTGACCTCTGGTGTCAAGGGTGACCTCTGGTGTCAGGGGTGATCTCTGGTGTCAAGGGTGACCACTGGTGTCAGGGGTGATCTCTGGTGTCAGGGGGTGACCTCTGGTGTCAAGGGTGACCTCTGGTGTCAGGGGGTAACCTCTGGTGTCAGGGGGTGACCTCTGGTGTCAGGGGTGACCTCTGGTGTCAAGGGTGACCTCTGGTGTCAAGGGTGACCTCTGGTGTCAGGGGGTGACCTCTGGTGTCAATGGGTGACCTCTGGTGTCAGGGGTGACCTCTGGTGTCAGGGGGTGACCTCTGGTGTCAGGGGGTGACCTCTGGTGTCAAGGGGTGACCTCTGGTGTCAGGGGGTGACCTCTGGTGTCAGGGGTGACCTCTGGTGTCAAGGGGTGACCTCTGGTGTCAGGGAGTGACCTCTGGTGTCAGGGGGTGACCTCTGGTGTCAGGGGGTGACCTCTGGTGTCAAGGGTGACCTCTGGTGTCAGGGGTGATCTCTGGTGTCAAGGGTGACCTCTGGTGTCAAGGGTGACCTCTGGTGTCAAGGGAGCAACAAAGAGGGAGGGAGGGAGCAACAAAGAGGGAGGGAGGGAGCAACAAAGAGGGAGGAAGAGAGCAACAAAGAGGGAGGGAGGGAGCAACAAAGAGGGAGGAAGAGAGCAACAAAGAGGGAGGGAGGGAACAACAAAGAGGGAGGGAGGGAGCAACAAAGAGGGAGGAAGAGAGCAACAAAGAGGGAGGAAGAGAGCAACAAAGAGGGAGGGAGGGAACAACAAAGAGGGAGGGAGGGAGCAACAAAGAGGGAGGAAGAGACCAACAAAGCGGGAGGAAGAGAGCAACAAAGAGGGAGGGAGGGAACAACAAAGAGGGAGGGAGGGAGCAACAAAGAGGGAGGGAGGGAACAACAAAGAGGGAGGGAGGGAGCAACAAAGAGGGAGGGAGGGAGCAACAAAGAGGGAGAGAGAGCAACAAAGAGGGAGGGAGGGAGCAACAAAGAGGGAGGAAGAGAGCAACAAAGAGGGAGGGAGGGAACAACAAAGAGGGAGGGAGGGAGCAACAAAGAGGGAGGGAGGAAGAGAGCAACAAAGAGGGAGGGAGGGAGCAACAAAGAGGGAGGGAGGGAGCAACAAAGAGGGGAGGGAGGGAGGGAGCAACAAAGAGGGAGGGAGGGAGCAACAAAAAGAGGGAGGGAGGGAGCAACAAAGAGGGAGGAAGAGAGCAACAAAGAGGGAGGAAGAGAGCAACAAAGAGGGAGGGAGGGAGCAACAAAGAGGGAGGGAGGGAGCAACAAAGAGGGAGGGAGGGAGCAACAAAGAGGGAGGAAGAGAGCAACAAAGAGGGAGGAAGAGAGCAACAAAGAGGGAGGAAGAGAGCAACAAAGAGGGAGGGAGGGAGCAACAAAGAGGGAGGGAGGGAGCAACAAAGAGGGAGGAAGAGAGCAACAAAGAGGGAGGAAGAGAGCAACAAAGAGGGAGGGAGGGAGCAACAAAGAGGGAGGAAGAGTGTGGGGGAGAACAGAGAGGAAGACAAAGGATGCCGGAATACAGATAATTGGCCTGAAATACTGAATATTGTATGAGCTGAAGAGTGATAGTGAGAGAGAGTGAGAGAGAGTGAGAGTGAGAGTGAGAGTGAGTGAGAGTGAGAAAGTGAGAGTGAGAGTGAGTGAGAGTGAGGGAGTAAGAGAGAGTGAGAGAGTGAGAGAGTGAGAGTGAGAGTGGGAGTGAGTGAGAGAGAGAGAGTGAGGGAGAGAGAGAGAGAGAGAGGGAGAGAGGGAGAGAGAAACGGTGAGTGAGAGTGAGAGGGACAGAGAGAGAGTGAGAGAGAGACGCTGTACACATCACCTTAGTAAATGACAGTTTCACTTGATAAATATTAATTCCATATTTATATGTGATGATAACAATATGTGTGTGTACTCACCAAGATGTGCTTGCAGGGTGGAGCTCGGCTCCTGGGCCCGCCTCCCACACCTTAGAGTAATACAGTGACACATTTCTCCCAGTTTTATCATATAAACAGTAACAAGTTTGAATGTAATTATCTTGACAAAGTTGTGGCTCTAAGTTGCTCCAGTATGGACACTTCTCACACTGATAAAGTTCCTCCAGACGTCTCTATGACCCGTCTGTGTCTCCAGCTGCCATCTATGACCCGTCTGTGTCTCCAGCTGCCATCTATGACTCGTCTGTGTCTCCAGCTGCCATCTATGACTCGTCTGTGTCTCCAGCTGTCATCTATGACCCGTCTGTGTCTCCAGCTGCCATATATGACCCGTCTGTGTCCCCAGCTGTCATCTATGACCCGTCTGTGTCCCCAGCTGTCATCTATGACCCGTCTGTGTCCCCAGCTGCCATCTATGACCCCTCGTCTGTGTACCCAGCTGCCATCAATGACTCGTCTGTGTCTCCAGCTGCCATCTATGACCCGTCTGTGTCCCCAGCTGTCATCTATGACCCGTCTGTGTCCCCAGCTGCCATCTATGACTCGTCTGTGTCTCCAGCTGCCATCAATGACCCGTCTGTGTCTCCAGCTGTCATCTATGACCCGTCTGTGTCTCCAGCTGCCATCTATGACCCGTCTGTGTCCCCAGCTGCCATCTATGACCCGTCTGTGTCCCCAGCTGCCATCTATGACCCGTCTGTGTCTCCAGCTGCCATCTATGTCCCGTCTGTGTCCCCAGCTGCCATCTATGACCCGTCTGTGTCTCCAGCTGCCATCTATGACCCGTCCGTGTCTCCAGCTGCCATCTATGACTCGTCTGTGTCCCCAGCTGCCATCTATGACTCGTCTGTGTCTTCAGCTGCCATCTATGACCCGTCTGTGTCTCCAGCTGCCATCTATGACCCGTCTGTGTCTCCAGCTGCCATCTATGACTCGTCTGTGTCTCCAGCTGCCATCTATGACTCGTCTGTGTCTCCAGCTGTCATCTATGACTCGTCTGTGTCTCCAGCTTTCATCTATGACTCGTCTGTGTCTTCAGCTGCCATCTATGACCCCTCGTCTGTGTCTCCAGCTGCCATCTATGGCCCGTCTGTGTCTCCAGCTGCCATCTATGACCCGTCTGTGTCTCCAGCTGCCATCTATGACCCCTCGTCTGTGTCTCCAGCTGCCATCTATGACCAGTCTGTGTCTCCAGCTGCCATCTATGACCCGTCTGTGTCTCCAGCTGCCATCTATGACCCGTCTGTGTCTCCAGCTGCCATCTATGACCCCTCGTCTGTGTCTCCAGCTGCCATCTATGACCCGTCTATGTCTCCAGCTGCCATCTATGACTCGTCTGTGTCTCCAGCTGCCATCTATGACCCGTCTGTGTCTCCAGCTGCCATCTATGACCCGTCTGTGTCTCCAGCTACCATCTATGACCCCTCGTCTGTGTCTCCAGCTGCCATCTATGACCCCTCGTCTGTGTCTCCAGCTGCCATCTATGACCCCCCGTCTGTGTCTCCAGCTGCCATCTATGATCCCCCGTCTGTGTCTCCAGCTGCCATCTATGACACGTCTGTGTCTCCAGCTGCCATCCATGACCCCCAGTCTGTGTCTCCAGCTGCCATCTATGACCCCCCGTCTGTGTCTCCAGCTGCCATCTATGACCCCCCGTCTGTGTCTCCAGCTGCCATCTATGACCCCCCGTCTGTGTTCCCAGCTGCCATCTATGACCCCCCGTCTGTGTCTCCAGCTGCCATCTATGACCCCCCGTCTGTGTCTCCAGCTGCCATCTATGACCCCCCGTCTGTGTCCCCAGCTGCCATCTATGACCCCCCGTCTGTGTCTCCAGCTGCCATCTATGACCCGTCTGTGTCTCCAGCTGCCATCTATGACCCGTCTGTGTCCCCAGCTGCCATCTATGACTCGTCTGTGTCTCCAGCTGCCATCTATGACCCCTCGTCTGTGTCTCCAGCTGCCATCTATGACCCGTCTGTGTCTCCAGCTGCCATCTATCACCCGTCTGTGTCTCCAGCTGCCATCTATGACCCCTCGTCTGTGTCTCCAGCTGCCATCTATGACCCCTCGTCTGTGTCTCCAGCTGCCATCTATGACCCGTCTGTGTCTCCAGCTGCCATCTATGACTCGTCTGTGTCTCCAGCTGCCATCTATGACTCGTCTGTGTCTCCAGCTGCCATCTATGGACTCGTCTGGTCTCCAGCTGTTCATCTAAGACTCGTCTGTGTCTCCAGCTGCCATCTATTACCCGTCTGTGTCTCCGCTGCCATCGATGACTCGTCTGTGTCTCCAGCTGCCATCTATGGACTCGTCTGTGTCTCCAGCTGCCATCTATGACCATCGTCTGTGTCTCCAGCGTGCCCATCTATACTTCGTCTGTGTCTCCAGCTGCCTTCTATGACCCGTCTGTGTCTTCAGCTGCCACTATGACCCGTTCTGTGTTTCCAGCTGCCATCTATGACCCGTCTGTGTCTCCAGCTGCCATCTATGACTCGTCTGTGTCTCCAGCTGCCATCTATGACTCGTCTGTGTCTCCAGCTGCCATCTATGACTCGTCTGTGTCTCCAGCTGCCATCTATGACTCGTCTGTGTCTCCAGCTGTCATCTAAGACTCGTCTGTGTCTCCAGCTGCCATCTATTACCCGTCTGTGTCTCCGCCTGCCATCTATGACTCGTCTGTGTCTCCAGCTGCCATCTATGACTCGTCTGTGTCTCCAGCTGCCATCTATGACCCATCGTCTGTGTCTCCAGCTGCCATCTATGACTCGTCTGTGTCTCCAGCTGCCTTCTATGACTCGTCTGTGTCTCCAGCTGCCATCTATGACCGGCTGTGTCTCCAGCTGCCATCTATGACCCGTCTGTGTCTCCAGCTGCCATCTATGACCCGTCTGTGTCTCCAGCTGCCATCTATGACCCGTCTGTGTCCACAGCTGCCATCTATGACCCCTCGTCTGTGTCTCCAGCTGCCATCTATGACTCGTCTGTGTCTCCAGCTGCCTTCTATGACCCGTCTGTGTCTCCAGCTGCCATCTATGACCCGTCTGTGTCTCCAGCTGCCATCTATGACTCGTCTGTGTCTCCAGCTGCCATCTAAGACTCGTCTGTGTCTCCAGCTGCCATCTATGACTCGTCTGTGTCTCCAGCTGCCATCTATGACCCCTCGTCTGTGTCTCCAGCTGCCATCTATGACCCGTCTGTGTCTCCAGCTGCCATCTATGACCCGTCTGTGTCTCCAGCTGCCATCTATGACCCGTCTGTGTCTCCAGCTGCCATCTATGACCCCTTGTCTGTGTGTCCAGCTGCCATCTATGACCCCTTGTGTCCTGTGCCATCTATGACTCAGCTGTCCCTCCAGCTGTTCCACTATGACCCGTCTGTGTCTCCAGCTGCCATCTATGACTCATCTGTGTCTCCAGCTGCCATCTATGACTCGTCTGTGTCTCCAGCTGCCATCTATGACTCGTCTGTGTCTCCAGCTGTCATCTAAGACTCGTCTGTGTCTCCAGCTGCCATCTATGACTCGTCTGTGTCTCCAGCTGCCATCTATGACTCGTCTGTGTCTCCAGCTGCCATCTAAGACTCGTCTCTGTCTCCAGCTGCCATCTATGACCCGCCTGTGTCTCCAGCTGCCATCTATTACCCGTCTGTGTCTCCGCCTGCCATCTATGACTCGTCTGTGTCTCCAGCTGCCATCTATGATGTCTGGTCCCATGATCTTGCCCTCGTCTTG